AACCAATATATTGTTGCTTGCATGAATAGAAAATTGCACCTAAATTTTATTAATGAAACCGTGCCAAAAGATTCATTTTTCAGGCCATAACTTTAGCATTTTCTGAAATCAATCCTCGTAGGCACAGGCAAAAATAACTTTTGCTGATGGCTCCATGTGCAACAAATCCTTCGACACGCAATCAGTTACAGCAACAAGAGAGTATAGAGAGGAATTAACACAAGTAACTATACTGGTAGCAATATGATAAAAGCATTTACAGTACTTTGTTCCTTAACAAAAGAGTTAGGCTATGAGAAACTTAGAAGAATGGGCTAAAGATCGTTAACGACCCGAGAGACCAAAAGGAATAATAAGAGTGGATGAAGGGTCCAGTTAGAAGTGCCAAAGTCATCTTATAAAATGACGGCTCGTCTTTCTCTTTACAGAATTAGGTTCCCCTGTGGCCCCTTCGCCATTGGCAAACCATCATCGTTTGGGTTAGAGACACGGTTATGAAAAAAGATTTCGGAGGAACAGTTATGTGAAGAAAAAAGTTGTCAACCAACTTTCCAATTGTACAAAACCGCACAAACAAAAAGGTATCGAGGAAATATTCTTGAAAAAGTAGCAGAGTTCAAATCTCACCCGAGGAAATTCCGTACCAGCCATAGCCATAGCCTTGCGCACTCTAATAGTCTGATTCCACAAGGGTCGAATTTTGCTCTGTGAATATTCTGAATTACAAGGATCCAGAGCCAGTCCTTTCAGCTGAGCTACCAATTCTGCATCCGAGTATTGTCCGAAAACTGAGCTTTCTTTCATAACCTTGCCAGCTTCCCGTAAAGAATCTTCACTGTTGCTGTTTCTTCCCTCCCTCCTGGCCGACAATTTTCCAGTCATCTTAGTCTCGTCGACCAAGACGTTGTCGGACTTATATACTATCTCCTAAATCCAACCCTGAAATTATAGAAAAAAATATACCCAGCATTGTCATAGCCCAGCAGTGTTTTGGGTTCACCTCGTATACAACAGATCTCAACCTAGGAAGGAAACATATCCCAGAAAATACATAATTAATGTAATGCAGTTCAGCCCATTAAATATTCGATTTGACTCAACGTTAAGCTCATGTTTTCCCAGTTAAAAAGGAAAAAAGGCTTTCCCAGTAAAGTGATGTTAAGGAGTTGCAATGTTTTATTCTTCACAGCACCCAATCTGTCCACTGCACAAAAAATCATAAAAACAAAAACAATAAAAACAAATTATAAAATCAATTAAAACAAAACCGCATTTAGCCATTTAACCCAAGGGAAAAAAATGCTAATAAACAAGAACCACAGCCCAAAAAAAAAAAATAATAATAATAAAGCAAAGAAAAAAAGAAGAAAAAAAAGAGTCCCCCCACACACACAGAGAGACGGGATAAACTATCAGGTTGGATTAATGAAACCCTAACCCTAACGTCGGAAAACAATGGTCACCCGACAAATGCAATTACACATAGACTAAAGAGCCCTATTTTTCTAATAATTGAAGCTACCAAGAACAATTAATAAATCTATATTTATACATGCATATAACCGCGTAATCTTCTATACTTCAACGTGTGGGTGTTTGGGTATATTTATGATGCAGGGAGAAAAATTGAAGATGGGATCTAGTAAAGAATACGGGGCTACTGCAGACACAGTAATTGAAGTTATGTTTTGGTTGATTAGAGCTACACAAATATACTCTATCATCTACTTGTATGCTTTATTGTAGTACATCTTAATTATGCATCATATATATATATATCTATATAAAGAAATAAACTATGGAGTATACAAGTTTGGGATATCAATGGTGGCCTCGCTGGATTTGCAGCGAGGCACCGAGCGGGCGTGTGTGGAGGGCACGGGAATAATAAAACTAAAGAGAAAAAGAAAAGGTCGGACCTCAGGCGGATTAATTGCGACTTTTCTTACGGCACTGTCCTCCATTTGTTAGACGCTCGAATTCCATCCAACCAGGTAATACTTTATCGGATAAGTTAAAAAGTGAAAATCATATATAAATACTCCAATACATATTAGCTTGATCCCTTTTACGCCTCTCATCATATGTATAAAAGAGTTAATTACAATTAGTAAACTTCATTTTTCAATTTATTCTTTAATTTTTTTTATCTCATTTTATCCCCTGTCGGATAAAATTAGTCCTCTATCATTCTAATTTTTTTCTCTCTTTTGTATTTATTTTCTTTTCCCTTCATTTCTCCTTTATTTTCTTGTCTCTTTCTTTTTTGTTTACTTCTTCCTCTTTCTTATAAGGAATTTCATCTCCATGATTGAAACTAAAAAACATAGGTTACAGAGATTTGTGTTTTTCTCAAATGATTACAAAAATATTCAAACCCCTTCCCTGAAATACCATTTTTTGACCGTGCAATTCTTCTACTTTTTCCCCTTCCTATTCCAATTTTTCATTTTATTATCAAGAGAAGATCACAAGATGAATCTATAACTTGATTAACGATCATTGATTGTAATTTACAACATATGACATAATATAAAAATCAAAATTAGCTTTTAATGCCTTTCAAACCTTCATCCCAAAAATTTAATTACAAACTTCAGATAAAATTTTCTGTTCCAAAAAACCTAATTACAAACTTTAGATAAATTTTTCTGTTAAAATGAAGTTTTTTGTTTAGAGGGATGAAAGAGAGAAGAAAGAACAAAGAGAAAAAGAAATAAATGAAGGGAAAAGGGGGACAAAAGATAAATAAAAAGTCAAAATAATGAAAGAATATTTTTATCCTATAGGAACACAAGTGATAGAATTTAAAGATTATGAGGTAAAGTGAGAAATGGAATATAATTTAAGGAATTAATTATAATTAATCCTATATAAAACCATAACTTTCGCTTCTTACATATTGATTTTGTACCTTTTATAGTCCTCACACGTGATATGAAATGATGATCTCTCACAATTGAACTTATTTGGCAGATAAGTTTTTTACCAAGTTTATTTGTTACAAGTTTTTTAAAAACTTTAACTACAGTAACTTCAAAAAACTTCTCAAAGTTTTTAAATTATACACTTCAAAATATTCAAAAAAAAAATACACTTCAAATATTTTTTAAAAAACTTCTACAGTATGTTATAGTAAAATTTTAGATAAACACCTAAAAAACTCACTTAACAAATGGGCCGAAAAGTGCATATGTCTTGCAAACTTTAAGGGCAAAATAAAAAAATCGCAAGGGAAAAAGGAAAAATTTTATATCGCATTTCTTTCTTCTTCGTTCTATCTTTTTAGCCAAGAATGTAACTGTAGCCATGACAGCCTAATATATGACACCTAATATATTACCATATGATCACGGTTAGACAGATAACTATAGATATATATTAGGGTTAATCGCACTTTATCCCCTTTAAGTATAGGTCATTTCTCACTTTACCCCACAATGTTTGTTTTTTCTCAGTTTACTCCCTCCGTCAGCAATTGCACGTTAAAAACTTCAAGATGCCGAAATTGCCATTGGGTAGTTAATAGGGCTCCGTAGTTATTGCAAATTGATTTTGAGTTGGATGTGTGCATTTTTCATGAGCAGTTCAAGGTGGTGCATGGTTTTCTAATTGATAATATTTCTGTTGAATTGTCACTTTCATAGTCTCTTAAGTATTTCCTTCCTCCAGCACCTAGTTACCCTCACTTTTTCAATTTCATCAGTTGAACACTTAAAAAGTTGCTTAGCACTTTTTCCTCTTTAAAAGAGATTTTTTTCTTCCAAAGATTCAGACTATCACTTTTTGAATAAACATAAAAAGTTTGATTTCAAAGAACAGCAGAGTGAATTAGCTATCTGACATACTGTGAATTTTAACTAATCCTCAGGCTAACATAATCCTCAGGCTAACATGACAGTTCAAAGCCTTCAGAAACAGTTTGGATTATTCTAACAGACCCACGAGTACTAATCCAACAGAGCAAAGCAGAATATGAGCAAAAAAGTTACAGATGAGGAAATTATCCATTAGGAAATCACAGATGTTTCAAACTAACCTAAGCATCAGCCAGTAAACGTGCAAGAAGCTTTCTCACCAACATAAAATTCAAAAAATTATATGCTTCTTCTTTTTCCTCCTCTGCTTCTTCTGCTAAGAAGCGCAAATTCAAATTCCACTCCAATAGTAAGGCCTACGTCCAGTACCACACCCTCGTCGCCGATGAGGGCTCCAATGTCCCTCTCCGCGAGTACATCAATGCCGAATTCCTCAACCCTGTGCCTCCTCCTGACCCTCTTTCTTCTGAACCCTATTTCGGCCTAGGCGACGTCGTCGCCTGCCTACTATAGGGACGGCTGGTGGACTGGTATCGTCACCGCTCTTCTTCTTCAGCACCACGACGCCGACCGCCACTACCACTACAAGCAGCCCCAGTCCTCCTCTCTTCTGAGGTTCGTCGTCACCTTTCACAATCCACCCAACGAACTTCACTTTCCTCCTTCCCAATTGAGATTTCACCACCGATGGGTCAATTGCACCTGGGTCCGACCCGCAAAGCAGGTGCCGTTTCTATTTCTGGTGTCGTTTCATGTTCTTTAATGGAGGTTTTGCTAGGAATACAGAAGAAGAAAGAGGCTGATAGAGGGGAGAGAGACTTGACCGACAATGACAAAAAGGAAGGAAACCTTTTGTCTTCTGGTTTCCCTTTTCTTGTCCCATGTGCCCGATGGAGGGAAATTTCCTCCTCCATTGTCCCAGGGCAATTTTGGAAATTTGTTTTTATCCGTTTCATAAACCTTTGACATATGGGTATTTTGGGTTGTTCATTATTTTCTTAAGGGTATTACTGTCTTTTTATTATTCTGTTAATCTCCGTTAGAGTTGACTGTTAGTATTTGGGATAAACTGAAGAAAAACAAACGTTGGGGGGTAAAGTGAAAAATGACCCATACTTAAAGGGGATAAATTGCGATTAACCCTATATATTAGCCTCAACCATTCCCATCGTCCCTGGCGCACGATTACGGATATGGAGACTTAGAACTCGGGATGTGTTTATGTCAGAAGAATCTCAGCCGGCACTGGAGTTACCCCGTCCTCGTCATATCGCACAGGCGCTAATCTTCAACAGCAAATTAAAGAAGAAACGACCATGCTATGATGAGACCACGCAATCCTATTGGTAACCCTTCAGTTCTCTATGGCTCAACTGCCCAAAAACCTCACTTCCAAACATCTCTTAAAGCTCCTCAAATCCGAAAAGAATCTCAACTCAGCGCTCTCTCTTTTCGACTCTGCTAGTCAACACCCGGGTTATACCCACACCGCCGTCGTCTTCCACCACATCCTTCGCCGCCTCTGCCTTTCCAACTCGAATGGGAAACTTCCGCCTCGCATTGGCGAAATCGTTGATATGATCCAAACCCAGAAATTCCAGTGCTCTGAGGACGTTGCATTGACTGTGATCAAAGCGTATTCCAAGAACTTACTCGTCGACAAAGCAGTTGAAACTTTTCAAAACATGGTGGAAATCTTTGGGTGCGGACCCGGTATTAGGTCGTACAATACTCTGCTCAACGCTTTTGTGGTGTCAAATCAACTGAGCAAAGCGGAGTTGTTTTTTAGATCCTTTGAGACAATGGGGGTGGCGCCAAATTTAGAAACCTACAACATTTTGATCAAGCTTTCATGTAGAAGGAGGAAATTTGATAACGCTAAAGAGCTGCTGAATTGGTTGTGGGACAACGGTTTCAAGCCTGATGTGTATGGTTACGGGACATTGATTGATGGGCTTGCTAAAGTTGGGGATTTGCGCAGCGCCTTGAAACTGCTCGACGAAATGTCTGAGAGGGGTGTGATTCCGGACGTGACATGTTACAATATCCTAATTAATGGTTTTTTCAAGAAAGGGGATTTAGCGGGAGCTAATGAGACGTGGGAGAGGATGATAAGGGGATCAAGTGTCTATCCAAGTGTGATTAGCTATAATGTTATGATTAGTGGGTTGTGCAAATGCCGAAGGTTTACTGAGGCTCTGGAGTTGTGGAGCAGAATGAGGAAAAATGAGCGGAAAATGGATTTGTTTACATGTAGCTCGTTGATTCATGGGCTGTGTGAGTTAGGGAATATAGATGGGGCAGAGGCAGTTTTTGCAGAAATGATTGACACTAAGGTGTTTCCTGACGTTGTTGTTTATAATGCAATGCTTAATGGATATGGCCGGGCTGGGGATATTAGGAGGAGCTTTGAGTTGTGGGAGTTGATGGGAAGGGAGGGTTGTCGCAATATTGTTAGCTTCAACATTTTTATGAGAACTTTATTTGAGAATGGAAAGGTGGATGAAGCAAGTGCACTTTGGAAGCTCTTGGTGGAGACTGAACTATCTGCTGATTCTGCAACTTATGGAACTTTAGTTTATGGGTTTTGTCAGAATGGACTCCTTTTCAGGGCTTTGTTGGTTTTGGAAGAGGCAAAAGATAAAGGAAATGTTCTTGATGCTTTTGCATATTCAGCAATGATTTCTGGGTTATGCAGAGAAGGTACACTAGACAAAGCAGTTAGGGTGCTTGCTCAGATGATCAAATGCGGCTGTAAACCAAATTCCCAGTTGTGCAATGCACTTATTGATGGATTTGTCCAAGCTTCTAAGATGAAGGATGCTCTCAAGCTTTTACACAAAATGAACAGCATAAACTGTTCCCCAAATATTGTCACTTATAACACGATTATAGATGGACTGTGCAAAGGTGAAAGGTTTGCTGAAGCATATGAGCTTGTGAAGGAAATGCTGGAAAAAGGATGGAAGCCGGATATGATTACATATAGCTTGTTAATGAGAGGTCTTTGTCAAGGCTATAAGATTAACTTGGCCCTTAACTTGTGGAGCCAAGTTGTCAGCAAGGGTTTGACGCCAGATGTTACCATGCACAATATAATGATTCATGGCCTCTGTTTGGCTGGCAAAATTGACGTTGCTTTACATCTGTATCTCAACATGAGTCAGTTGAACTGTGTGCCAAACCTTGTTACTCATAATTCTCTAATGGAGGGCTTTTATAAAGCCAGGGACTGCAAAAATGCATTAGTCATCTGGGCTCGCATTTTGAGAGGTTGGCTTCAGCCAGACATCATTTCATATAATATCACCCTCAAAGGACTTTGTTCTTGCAATAGAATGTCGTATGCAATGTCATTCTTGAATGATGCTTTGAGTAAGAAAATTGTTCCTACCATAATCACTTGGAACATACTTGTCAGAGCAGTTCTTATTGAACGGGCTTCAACATGATCTTGGTTCTAGATCTTGAAAAGTTAGATTTCTAAATCTTACTGACTCTTATTGGCTTAGCCTCCTTGTTTTGCTTCTTTTATTGATTGATTAGATTTAATAGATCACCATTTCGATTGCAGCTTGAGTCTCATATGGTTAAACGTTGGTGTTCGAATTTATGTGAACTCCACTCAAGCAAGACAAGTTCCTGCTATCGGTATGCAATAGTTTGAAGTTCATATTGCAAGTCAACTCTCTCAGGTTCTCAAGTTACCTCCTGGATGTGAAATGACAGATATTACAGACTATATGAGCATTACTTTCTTTCTTCAAAGAAGTGATATTTGAATAGTGTTTCCCAAGATTAAGGATCTACTGCTTTTCGTGTTCTGCATCCTAAGATTATTTTGGTCTTGCAGGTTAGTTGCAAAAAGCATTGGTCATGTCAACTGTGAAGGCACATTTGCGTTCGAAGTTCCTAGAATCTTGGTATCCAAGTCACCAAACCCTTATTCCTGTCATAAATGCATATAATTCTGGACTTCTTGTCCACGTGAAAGTTGCTTTGAGAGTTTGTAAGGCATAAGCCATTATATGGTAACTGTGGTGAATTTTTGGTTCAGGTACGGATGGATTGAATAGATGAATCATGTCTACTTACAGCATTGGGCTTAAGGTTTGAGTAGGTTGATAATTTTTCCTGGAAGTTTTGTTAGCAAACTGATTTGCACTTAATTTTGCAGCTTCTTTGCTGAACCAGAGTTTAGCTGGCCTAAGTGATAGTAGTACATGCAGCAATTTTAAGTGATTTGTTACAGGTCTGGAAGCTTCCGCTTTTAGTCTTTTTCAATTCACATATCCTTCATGTGTCTTGGTTGTATTCTCATTGGTAAATTTCCATTGGAAAGCATCAAAAAAGAAGGTTTGGTGGTCGTAGTGGGATCTCCAGAACCTAGCAATGATGCAAAACTAAATTTGCTTGATGTATTAGCCCCAAATGGTAAGACCTTATTTGGGGTTATAACTCATGCGACACTCAAATTGTTTTCTCTTAAACTGCTATAGTGAAATCAAATATCTCAGTGGTGTGGGGAGAAAAAAAATCACTCTTTATCTATTTTGCTTTTGTTTTGTTCTGTTTTTTCTGTCTCTGACAACATCATTTGCTCGTAGAGGAGTTGAGAAAGCAAACCCACCAAGATTGCTCCAAGAACTGCTACCTTACGCCAGTCAGATGATGAAGTGATCGACGCATCACAAATTCCAATAAGTACCAAGCCTATTAGTGCAAGGTAAATGTTCCTCCTAGTTTTAGACCCAGCATTTTCCTTGGTAAGCTCTCTAAGCTTCATTCTCTCCTCCTCAGCTCTCTCTTTTCCAGGGGGTGTTTTCTGGCGCAAGTTCTTGAAGAACAGACCTTCGTTTCTGTCCTCCTCAATTTGGCCTTCGAAATCTGCCAACTTCTTCTCACTTTCTTCAATCTCCTGCTTATTCAATTCTGCCGATTCTTCAAAGGCTTGCATCTGGCTCTCTATGTTTTCCATTATCTGCTCAAGAAAATTAGTTGAAGTGGTTATAAGTTAATTTCCTAGTAGAAATTATGTTCTTGATAAAGAAGAGATCAAACAGACCCTGGAGCCAGCTTCATCAAGTTCTTTGAGAGCATTTTCACCTATTTGATCAATTTCAGCATTGGCTTCTTCTGCAAACTGGGTCAGATATGCGGACCTTTCATCTAAGTAATCAGTAAGACGTAGTTTTTGGGCTTGCAGCATTGCTATTCGGGCAAGCAATTCCTGCTTTCTTCTATCTCCTTCAGGTGGCGGTGTTCCCGAATCTGATTCGTTTGCCTTGCATAGGAGGAGGTTGGTGTACTTCCTCTTGGAGTAATCTCTTCCTCGGAGTAAAGCGTGCTTGTTTGGAGTAAAAGGGGATTGAAATGCTTTTAGGGACATCATATTTGCTGTCATCCAAGTAAGAGAGGAAGAGAGAGAGAGAGGGAGGGGGCAATTGTGCAAGAGCTGCGGAGGCGTTTTGAACCTCTCATTAAGTTGCATTATCTCGTCGGCAAGACCTCTGTCTGACTTGTATGGATTTGTTTTTATTGGTTTAAAAAGCAAATTTGATGCTACTCCCTTTGAACAACGGCTCGTTTATTGGTCATGACAAAAGAATTGAGACTTTGTAGGGCAACGGTTCAACTATTGTCTCTCATCTTGATTCTTGTTCGTTGAACATCAAGAAAAAGTGAGGTGTGCTCAAAATATTGTGCTGACAAAATTACCGAAGTTTACTGCTGGTGATTGCTTAATTGAAGTTAATGGAGTTTTGTGGTAGGGTTCAGGTGTTGCAAATCTAAGCTGAGGCAGCAGTCAAGTCGTTTGGGAAACATGAAGATTACGTGGAATTTTTGAGTCATTTGAGAAAAGGGACTTTTGAGTCGTCCAATTTGGAGATCCAAAAAATAAAAAAAAAAAAAAAAAAGAATTAGACAGACAGCTTTTGAATGTATATATGTTTTCGACAATATTGCTTTTAAATATATAACTGCAGTTAAATGGCGATGAAGCAATTGATAGACCGAGGAAATTGTGATAGAAAATACACACTATATATTTTTATTCAAAGCAGATTTATTTCATATTGATGCTGCGGTGGCGACCCCTGTGTAGGAACAGCAGGCCGCCGTCTTCCCATTAGGAAAAGGTAAACCAGTCATAAAGCCATAAACTTGAGTGTACGCGCATGCATGGCAGGGCAGGTAGCCCACTGTTCAATTCAGACCTATGTTTTGAAATTCGGACCATGACTCGGACAAGTTCAGTGATTAAGGATCAGTGTATTCGGCCGAGGTCGGATCGGTATGAACCGATGACGTAATCATGATATTATAAATAAATAAATATATTAATTTTATTTAAGTAAATAACATTAAAAATTGACTATAAGTGTAGTGAAAATTCATTTTCACCATCATATTCCTTGCCCATCAAGTTCATAAAAAAATAACTTAATTGTAAACTCAACAAATGATAATTAACATCAACTAGTTAACAAGACTTTCAAATAAAACACAAAAATCAAAATTTTAAATTTATTGGCTAATGTTCTTAAGATTCAAATGCATATTGTATATTTTTTCAAGAGAATGAACAAATTGAGCCTCATTTGTAAAAATATAAAGTCAAATTTGCACATAGAAGTTTGAGAGTGTATTTACGATTATTTAAAACATCGAGGGATTAAAATCAAATATTTAAAAAGTTGAAAAGCACCTTTTTTGAGAGTGTATTTACGATTAATGTTGCAAATGAAAATCAAGAAATATCACAGGAACTTGTATAATTATCCAAAATGTTCAGGGAGAAAAATAAGATACTGAAAAACTTAGGGGGTCTAACTCTAATTCATTCTCTTGTGGCCTTTATGTCTCAGCCGTCTGACTCTGTGTCATGAGTTTCATCTTCCAATTTCAACTTTGGTCTTTTCCTCCGCTTCTTTTTGTGTCAAATTTTTCTTCCTATCTAGTTCCATGGTTGACTGTCTTGTCTTTATCTAATCAAACAAAAACTGCAAAGTTCTTGTTCTTTTACTTTCCCTTCTATCTCTTTGTTCTTTTTATTTTCTTTTTAGATTTGTTTCTTCTTTTCCTTATTAGTTTTCTTTAAGGAGTGTGGATGGAGCAACTTCTCCATTGCAGATTCGTTCCGCCATTGATTCTTTTGAAGATTTGGGGAGTGAAAGGCTGAAAATTTTTTTTTTTTGCCTAGAAAAAATTTACAAACTTGGGAAAATAGAACCGGGCTTTTTGGTAGATTTGGTTTTCCAGTTTAACCTCGATTGGACCCGGTTCTTGACCGGTTTTGACCAGATCTCTGCCACCCGATTTTTTACATTTACTCGGATCGAATACTCATCCAAATCTTGATTTAGCCGATCGGTCCAATCCAAGCTTTAAAACACTGTTTAACACCATCATTGACGGCTCACTCAATGTCTATTTTTTTTTTTTTTTTTTTTTGACGGGAGATTGGGTTAGGTCAGCATGATTGAGGAGGAGCGTTTCCATCGCCCTCTTGAGGTGCCATGAACACGGCTATTTGATCAAACTGGTCTTTAGCCACAATCACGTCCAAGGAAACGGAGATCAAATACATACTCACATTCATATTTCATGCAGAAAACAGGGAAAAGAAAAAGAAGAGAGAGTACGGACCGTGTTTTGTAGCTTTGGTAAAATTCACCAATAAATTACCTTCTTCCACTTCAAGATGGTTTGTAACGTTTTCTGGTATTTAGTTTGTTCTGTAGATGTACCCATTTAGTTGGCCGGGCTAGTGTTAATTGCAAGGCCCACTCATACATCTTCAAGCCTTATGCAATAATGAAATCCAAAAGAGGACTCAGATGGAAGTTTATGTCATTCTTTCCGTGAGTAGTTAAGGCTCAAAATTGGAATTACTGGGGTCATCTCAGCGAGATTTTTAGAGTTTTCATCGCTATAAAATTCAGGAAAAGATATGAGAAGGGATGGAAGGGTTAAAAGAAAAAAGGGAACAATTCAAGATGGGGATGAAAAGGGATAGGAGGGTTAAAAAAAAAAAAGAAACAACCAAAAACGAGTAATTTCAATGGGGTTGGGAAGGGATAAAAGAAAGAAACAACTCAAAATCAAGTACTAATTTCGAAGTGAGAAACAGAAAACCAAGCATTTTTAGCATTTTACTGGTTTATTAATTAGGTTCGTGGCTTTGTTCGGCACATCTCCGCAGTAAGGGAAAGTCAATCTGCCACCTTAATTAAACTGTGGAAACTAAAACATGGTAATGATGGCATCACCACTAAGAAGGGACGATAAAGTCCGCCACCAGCTCATGCGAAAACAGTAAGAATCAGTTTCAAACGCTAAAACTCAACCACAAATAAAAATATTTTAGGATTTAGTACAAGTACCAATCATCATTGTGTTCAAGGATCCATCAATCAACCGGGAAGGAGGTAGATAAAATGGGCTGATGAGACAATAATGAGTGAGTGAGTTAACCAAGTAATCTGATGCTAGTTGGCTTAGCCTTAGCGTTCAAACTATGTACATATGATGTCCTCATGGCGGTGGGAGCTACAAGAAACTGACTGATGCATACCTGAAAGGAATTTGACAACCATGTAGCAACTAAATCTAGGTGTTGCTTAGGAAGGGTATGCTACCATTCTCCCTTTTTGCTTTCATCTCCCAAGCTGTCAATAATCGTATCATACGTACTTGGAATTCCCAAATAAAAATTACTAGCACGTTATTAACAAGTTTAGTTTTTAATATTGATTTTTTCCCCCCCTCAAAGCATAGGATGCCAAATTTAATCATTAAGCATTATTGCTGGTTTCATCCGTCGAGGATGGGGATATTTAAAGCCGATCAAGATAGAAGCATTAACGAATTCTCACCTGATGATTTCAACTAGGGTTATCTGCAACATAATGCATGTTAATTTCACAACAGAGCATCTGCAGGATTTGTATCTCGTTTAAATGAAGGTGTTAAATTTCCATCATCTTGAGTTCACCCTTCCACATCTTTCTTTCTCATTTCCTTCTTAAACTATAAATAAATAAATAGTTTATATAGACAATCACGCATTAACAGGCTGGCAAGCATAATCTTTCTAAAAGTTCGAGGGAAAAATTAAGATAAAAGAGAAATGGTGCAGGGATTCTGGTTTTGTGAAGGGGACGGACTGGCAATTTATATATTTTCCGGACTTCTGGAAGAGACATTCTGTAGTTCATTTTAATCGTCCCCATTTTTCTTTTTTACTATTTTTTTTATAGGGTTGTCTCGGGGTGTTGGGGTGTCGAAACCGTTTGAAAAAGGGCCGAAGTAGGAGCACTTTTGAAAATGTAATTGCGAAGTCATGCAAGAAAAACAGGGATTAAAACCAACCTGAATGAAGTGACGAATTTGATTCTAGAAATGAAAGGGGACTATTTGCGGACTAACTTTTGAATCTCTGTTACCATGAATGCGTAAGCAAGCACTTTTAGACTTTGGCAATGTTTCACCAACCAATTGAGATGGTCCCTCGGACCAGATCACCAGCTGATTTCTGGATTGTTTTGCTGGTCACCCTAGCTTAATGCAATTTGAAGAAACATATTAAACTAGTCAAAAATCAAAATTAGTGACTGGTTTACTAGGGACGTTTTAGCTCCCGCACCCCAACCCCCCCAACAAAACAAAACCAGAGCCCAAAAGAAAAATAGAAATCTTTTGAAAAGTGAATTTCAGGATGCTTCGTCAAAGTAGAACTAATCGTAGGGTAGAAAAGTTTATATGTTAAAAAAAGAAAAGAAAAGAAAAGAAAAGAATGGTGTGTGTTTAATTTGTGATTTGCATGAAATAACAACCACGAAAAGCAAAAAAAATAAAATAAAAATAGAGGGGAACAAATATATCCACAAGATTTAGAGCAAGCTAAAGCAATTGAGTTGAATGGTTCATATGTCCAAGTCATTAGATGAATAAGGGTGGGTGAAAGGATGGCAGTAAGATTAATTTATGAAATGGAATTGGTGCAGTAGATAAAAATACTTTATGTAATATGCAAGAAACGATAGGCAAACGTTAGTTTTCTGAAGAAAAGCTTGTATTTCAAGGATCCACGAATGATCCATCCATTCACCTACTGAAGATAGAGGACCGGGCAGCAGGCAATGAGGCAATGACCTTTATCACCTATATAAGGTTGGTTAGCCAGTCATGGCTGACAGCCCGAGCGCAACCGCAACGACGCTAAAAACCACTGAAGTTACACAGAGACAAGACAGCAAAGAAGACGTAGATGGGTGGCTACTCCTCCTCCTGGGTTCAAATTTTGATCCTGGCATTTTTCTTATTTCCTGCACTCGTCCACTGCAGAGTTCGCCACTACAAATTCGATGTAAGATAACATTTTTTTAAAAAAAAATGCCCACACACACACACACTAAACCAGTACTTCAATTTGATGTAGATCATACTTATTGCTGCATGCCCATGCAAAAATGTAGTTTTTTTTTTCTTTAAATGCATATTATCCACATGAATTTTAGACTGAAGAAATCAAATTGGGCAAATGTACTTCAGCATTAGTTATCGAACTTGTATTTGAATTTTTGAAATAAATCCCGCCGGGGTGGAGGGAATGATGAAG